CCCCCCCTCGCAGAACTGATGACAAGCGTTATTCAGTGCAACACGTTTTGGTAGGTTCCTATAATGGAAAAATCCCATTTAGGTCTTTGTCAGTTGGAGTTCTTGTCTTATGAAACATCAAACTTGAATGTTCCAATGACATCTTGTCATGTTCAGTCCAAGTAATATGAGGAAGGAGGCTGTGGGCCGAAGAGTTCCTCAAAACAAAGAGAAGCTCAGATATATTGTGTGATAGACTAAATGTTAGGGGTTAGCATGTTGGCAGTTAGCTCTTTGGCTACAGTAGTTTGTCATCTGCAGAAACACATACTTGAGGCATTCACACATTTTCAGCATCAGAGAAGAATAATGTGAAACATCAATCTGTCTGTAATGCCTCATGGTTCTGCTATTCTGCTACCCGACTGTCTGGAGTGTCTGTTACACAGTGGTTTGGGTGGAGAGGGCGGCATTAACAACAGAACCAGGTTTGTCATTAGAAAAGCTTAGTTAATCAAATGCCAGCTAATTTTCTTATTTTGATTCAGTCTGTTGCTGGTTTGAAGCTGTGGGAAGCAGTTAGCCAGAGCTAACTGGATCTGTATTGGATCTGAACCAAACTCTGCAGATCTCAAAGACCAGTTCCACAGCTTAACAGACTATTGCCAGAATGAGCTTCTATAAGCAGAAGTAACTGGCTCAGGTTTAGAAAGTTTAAATTCATCATAATAGTTCAGAGAGCCTTGTTTTCTTGATGCTCTGATTTGAAGTGATTTTATCACCATGGTATTTACTGTATGGATCCAGTGCCTTGTATCAGGGCTGTGTGTCTGTCTGTCATCTCCTCATCTCCACACATGGTGTAATAATCAACTTCCTGCACACAAACTGGGTCAGCTGACTACTTCCTGTCATTAGTCCTGTGTGTGTGTTTACTCCTGTTTCTCTGTGGAGTTTTGAGATATAAACCTGCTCACACACATATGGGCAGTGTCGTATTTGAGCTAAAACTAAAAGCAACAGGTCTGAAACCTGAACAACCTACTACTGCTTTGTGCTGATGTGATGCTTGTTTGGCTTTGTGGAGATATTGTGTATGGAGATATGTATATCTGCAGACGGACTCACAAGAATTCTTCACAGACACCCCCCACCTTCACCACAGGCTCTGTCCTGATCTCACCTCCCCATAGCTACATCTCAACAACAAGTATGTGTTTAATGACTGACAGAGGCAGCACAGTGTAATGTACTGAACATCAGCAGAGGCAAAGCCAGACTAATGGCAGCTGTCGCCCTCCACAGAGGAGCACGACATAGTCAGGGCAAGATTCACTCATGTTTTCCTTTGACACAACTGAAACTTTTTATTTTAGCTGTCATGTGATGACCATGTGAAATGCACACTGTTTTCTTTCTCTGTATACTGTGAAAATGTGTCCTGTGTTTTCTAGACGAGTTGTTTGTTTGAGTCAAAGCTGGCCTTGTCTCTAGCGCAGGCTGGGAGCGTGTGCTTGTGTGGCTCTCTGTGAGAACCAGTTTTATGTCTTGGGAGTGAGGACTTTGCCAGGTCCTCACACCTTCACAGGGCTGTCTGGTGCTTCAGACCTGGTTTTAGGGTTTAGGTTAGAATAAAGCTTAGGTTAGGGTTAGGGGCTAAGGGATGCATTATGTCAGTGAGGGTCCTCACAGAGATAGATGCACAGATGTGTGTGTTACTGACTGCAGTCTTTGTGTATTGGTATGTTTTAAGATTAATGAATAGTGAATAGACAGCAGTGTGTTTAGCTTTAAAAACAGAGACTTCATTGACATCTGCACACTCACAGCTGTTTACTCTCCCCCCATTCTCCCTTTACCTCCTCCTCCCATCCACCCCTCCCTCCCACCTCCCCTCCCGTTTTCTCACTGATCAGCATTTCTCATGCTGCTGAAAATTAGAAGCAGATGGCTTATTATTAGTACACACATACAGTCCTCTTTCAGGTCTTGGCTTCATTCAGATGACAGGAAGTGGAGGCTGGCCTCTGGAGAGTTTCACTTCCTGTCTGGTCCTGTTTTATTTTCACAGTGTATCGGTGACAGAGCCAGTGTATGTTCAGCAGCAAACGGGCTGTGTCTGAAGTCACTGCATATTCATTGCATAGTCTGAACACTGAGTGTGTAGAAGGTTTCAGGGGTCCTTTATTGGTTTTAAAGTGGCCTTTGAGAGGACTGCATAGGGTCCTGGAGAGCATCAACATGCCCTTTAAGAGATTTCATGATTTTGTTGTAAGTTCCACAGGTTATGAAAAGAAGAGATTACAGTGGTTCTTGAGGAGGTTCCAAGGTCCTGGAAGATGTTACAGTGATTTGTGAGTAAGTAGTTCTGGAGGAGGTAAATGTATTAGCCAGCCAATGAGTGAACAGCATTATAAAGTGTAATGTTCCATGTTTCAGGTAGATGACCTCCTGTCTGATCTGAAACCACATAACAATGTAACACATGAAGTCACAGATGCAATGTGATGTTGCTGAGGTCAGACTGACAACACCCCCACAGTGGTTTTATTCATGCAGCTCAGTCAAACACTGTGCACACAGTCACAAGGATCACACACGGGAAGAGGGAGCTGCCAGAGACAAATCCAGATGTTCACGATATGAGAGAGGAAATCGGTGGTGATGAAATGTTGTTATATACTGTACTGTATTTTCCACTTTGTCTGAGCAGAGAAACAGCTGATGACTGATTTTAGACAGTTGATACTGTGCAGCCTCACAGAGTCTTGAAACATGAAGGGGCACATTCATGTGCTACACCAAGTATGATTTGGGTTGTGTGCAGTCTCTGATTGCTGCAGCTGTTTTATTGTGAGCTCTGGAAAAAGTTAGGGGAAACATACCAGCACACTCAGATCTGCCTTCTTTTAGACGCAGCAAGAGCTGAGGGTGCTTAGTGAGAAGCAGCCAGGCTTGACTGAAACAGGGTGTTTCACTTCACTTCCAGGTCAAATCAAACTGACTTTTCTCTGCTGTCAAAGCAAAGGGTGTTCTGCATATGCTGCTGGCCTTGCACCACGCAAAGCTCTCTACCATCTGTCTTGGTCAAATTTCTTGGCTTTATAATGTTCAGATGTGGAAAAGTTAAGTCTATAGCTCCATGGTACTGAAGGACAGACCACTGTGCTACTAGCCAGCACATCCTCCTTTGATTTTAGCTAATGTTGGCTCATCTTTGCCTGCGTTTGCTCTTAACGATGCAGAACAAACCAAGAGAATTCAGTTTCTGCAGTTTTGAAACTTTGTGTTAATCTAGCTTCTCTTCCTTGGTATGCCCGTGGCATTTTGAATGAACTAAGCATTTTTCTGAAGCTAAAGTTCTACATTAGTGAATGCTGGAAGAGTATGTTTAATTTAGGTAACTTTGCATGCTCTATGGGTGGTGCAAATGCAGCTGTAACCCATGAAGAGTTATCAGGTAAGTGGGACCTGGTGCTTACTGGTTTTCTGTTTGGGAAATTTATTTAAAATAAAACAAACAAAAAAAACTACTGCTGTTTTAAAGGCAAAGAGAGTCACAACTACTGATTTAATTTAGGTTTGTTCTCTTTATTACACTTTGACAAATTGGTGTAAATGGCCACCCAGGTATATTTGGCCATGGCTGTCCGAGAGAATGACACCATCCACGATCATTTAACTAGGGGTCAACTTCCCCTTGCTCAGGATTCTCTCTCTTTTTTTTTTTTTTTTTTTTTTTTTTTTTTTTTTTACTATTTCAAATATATAAAATCTAATTCTTAGCATTGGGCTGTGCACAGCACATCGACTCACTCAGCCTCTTCTTGTCCTGCCCTCTCTGCCCTATCGCTTTCTCAACCACAATTTGGCTCCTTCACTTCTTGGTGCCTATCGCTTTAATAGTGCTGTTCATATTCTGTATGTTGTAGAGCTGTTATTTCTGTAACAGCAGTTTTCTGGAAGCTGATATCCTTAGTCTTTCCTACGTGCAAAGCTCTGATTGGCCCAGTTACTTTTACGTCCTCTAGACCCAGACTCTAGGCACAGCACAAAAAGTCCAATCCAAGCTGAAAATAGTCCTAAACAAATGCATTATTTAGTCTTGTTTGGATTTGTTAAAAGCTACAGTGAGCAGCTGTTTTAGAAAATTACTGAGCCTTTTTAAAAACAAAACTATACATTTGTGAGCTGTTTTTAAAGATTGACATTTATAGGAGCCAATTGGCCTGGAGCTGAGAGCCACACTTTTAACTGGAGGAGACATAGGATAATTTTGTCTGGAAAAAATCATGTAACCAGGGACCTGAACTCACTCGATGACCACTTATTCTTGTTTTGTCTTCGTCCATAAAGTAGAGAAGCACCAGGAAGTCACCACTGGATTCCTTTTCTGTCCTCAGTTATAAGATGTCAGGCCCACAAGAATACTAATAACAGCTGTACATGTTTCCCCCAGATGTTCCAGTGAAATCTAACACTGTCCTCCAGACTTCTTCATCACCGTCATCACCATCAATGATGACATCAAGAACACTGACATCAGCAGACCTGGAAGCCCCCTCTCCCCCACGTAACCACATCACAGTCGCTAAGAAACAGCAGTGGGCACGACAGGGCTCTGTGGCTCTGCCCCCATCCTTGGTCTCAAACCCCATCCCCCAAGCCTCTGATTGGGAGAAACCTTCAAGGATATCCCAGGATGCATTTGGGCAGGCCTGGAGTCAGAAGCTAGCACAGGACAAGGTAAGGGATGGCAAGCACAGTGTTTCCATCCACTGCTCCTGGTGGTGTGAATTCTGACCGTTGGTCTTCTTCCAGTAGCTAGACCTTTTTTTGTTGTGCTCCTTGTGGTAATTGAATCCCTACTCTTTGTCCTGCTGCTGGTAGTTTTACCCTTCATTTATGGTAGTTTGACTCTGTTTTTGTCCTGCCTCTGAAACTGGTACCTTTGGTTGTGTTTCTGGTAGTTCAGTTGCTGCTCATTTTAATCTTTGTATATAGACTCTCTCTTCTAGTTTTGTTTTAGCAGTTTCATCCATGCATCTCCTTTCTCCACTGATAGCTAGACTTTTTTGGGTCCAGGTAGTGCAGCCTCTTCTTGTTGTCCTGCTTTTTGTAGTTTGTCATCCTCCTTCTTGAAACTTCATGTTATAAATTTACTTCCAGACAGAGCAGTGTGGCGACAGGAGGTGTGTCAGCCTGGCTTGGGATACGACCAGCACCCCATGTGTCTCTGTCAGTTCTACAACAGTACAGCAGGAAGCCCTTCAGCCAGCAGAGGGCTCTACTGATGCCCCTGCCAGCTCTGTCAACACTAAGCTGTCTGGCCAGCGTGCCTACCTGCAGAGCCTGGATCGCAGCAGCCGGGCCTGGGTGCTATCTTCAGGAAAGTCCCAGGCTTCAGATGGACCTAGTGATTCACAGGAGGATAGTGGCAGCAACATCTGGTACAACCCAATCCCTGAGGAGGAGGATTCAGGAGGCCCATGCCAGGAGGAGGAGATATGGAGGAGGAGGGATGAGAGGGAGGAGGGAGGAGTGTCAAAGATGGCGGAGCCAGGAGATGTCAGAAAAGAGCTGGAAGGAGTTTGGGTTGGTTCAGCATAAGATTGTAGCAGTGATTGTCCACTGGAGGGTCATAATCCAAGTGTCAGCCACCATGTTGATGACATAACAGCAGAAAACACAGGCAAGAAATCCTCATACTGGTTTTATGTTGCTTCAACTAACAACATATTGTAGCTGTCAGCTAGAAACCTCATATGTCCATGTTTTGTCATTTAAATTTTTTTCATAAATCAATGCTATTGATCACCCTTTATGTCTCTCTGTGGGCTTTACAAACATTTAACCAAAGAAAAGCACTAAGAAAGGCTTGTGAATAAATCTCGCAATTCCTTTGGATCCTGAAACTGTTGGCAAAACGTCATATAAACTTGATTTAGGTAAAATGTTATAATGTAATGATACACAAGTAAGTGAGCATATGCTGAAAAGTAGCAGTTTTGTAGATACAAGGTTTCTGCCCGACAGCGACGATATTCAGCCTGTCTGACATATTGCCCCACACTGGTCACTTGTGTCTGTGTCCATTTTCAGTGTTGCTCAGTTTGTCTCTTGTCCCCAGACTCCCACCTTGCTGACTCTATCCCCCCCTCCCAAAAGAAAGGGGGCGTGGCTGGCAGTGTGATGGACAGGCTGAGGTCTCCTGGTACAGTAAGGAGGCTCTCCCTGAAAATGAAAAAACTTCCAGAGCTGCGACGTAAACTCAGCCTTCGCTCATCCTCTCGTTCTCATCGTCATGGCCATGACAGCAGAGGGTTTGGGGATGAGTCGACCAGTAAGAATGCAGCATCGTTGTCGGCTTCCAACCAGAATGTGATCAGCAGATATCACCTGGATAGCTCCGCCCCTCCAGCCCGACCCCTGCGAAGATCTTTCAAAGGATGCTCTACCAATAAGGGAGGTAAAACAGTTTACATCTTTGTTTATTATTGATGGAAAAAACTATGTCTTGATGGACGTTGATAGAGAAGTTATACTACTGGCATGAATGGTGGTGCAGTGATTAGCCTTGTCGCAACAAAGCAAGAATGCTCCGGTTTCAGATCCCAAATGGGGCCCTTGTGTGTGGAGTTCACATGTTCTCCAAATGCCTGCGGGGGTTTCCTCCAGGTACTCCTGCTTACTCCTACGGAGACATACAGCTGAGGTTGGTGACTCTACATTGACCAAAAGGATGGTGTCAAGAAAATCATCCAGAGTAAAAAGTGCCAAATCCCAAATGTAGACTGCAGCGCGCTGTGGCTTTATAATCAAAGTGAGGAAGCCTGGATGTGCCTGTCTGTACACTGTATGTGAGGAATTTGTTGCTTTGCTGAACATAGTGCATGTTGTCAAGTGAGTACCAGAGAGTGTGATATTCACTGCACCAGACAGAGCAACTCTTTGTCTCAGATTATTTTGTCTCAGGTGGCATCACATCCAAACTAGACAAGCTCTGGTTCTATTAAAATACTTCAGACAGTCATAATATAACATATTGTACAAATATCTGCATCTGAAGCTAAAAGCTTGATCCAGGCATTTATATTTACTTGCCAGGCTATCTTAGTGATGGGGACTCCCCTGAGCTGCCACGGCAACAGGGCCCTCAGCTTGCAACTTCTCAGGAAGCACCATGTGACATCAGTTCATTCCAGCTGTACCTGGGCTCTGATCCTCCACGATGCAACCAGCGGGTGACCGGTTTACTCACTGTTCATCTGCTGGGCCTGGAGGAGATGAAGTCCAGCAGGTACAAGTTCATCACCAATGCCTGAAACCAGCAGCAGTGGTTACTAAATAGAGCTAAGTAATGATAAAACTGGAGCAGTATAAAGTGCACACAATGACATTTGGTTGGTGGTTTTTCCATTCACTTCAGCTCACTGAATTTGATCACAGCAGCATCTAGTGGACATAAGAGCAACTGCAGCTCACCACATTAGCATGTTTTCCTCTTGTCTCAGGTTTGATGGCTGTAAAGAGGTCTTCTTGGGGATCCAGATTGATGGAGTGACAAGAGCAAGGACTGCCCTACTGACCCTGCGAGGCTCTGCCCTCTCGTTAAACCACACCTTCCACTTGGAGCTGGAGAGAGCTCGGCAGCTACGTGTAGTGGTGCTAACACCAGGTATTACCAGTTTTAATGATATTAAGTTCTGTTATAAGTGCTGGCATTACTCCTGCTAATATTGTTACTACTACTGCTACTAGTGGAACAGCACAGCCAGCAAAATATCTCAGCAACTGTTTGTCTCCTTCCTGCTCTCTGGAGGATGAGCTTTCCTCTAGTGCCACCCTCAGGACAAACTCCTCCACTGCTGGTGGGTTTGGCTTCTGATAATAATCCTCATTACCTACGCCAAGGGTGGGGGTCATGTTTTAAAATTCATTCAGTTAAATGTATTTGTGTAGCACCAATTCACAGCAACAAATCCTGCAGTTATGTGACCACCTGCACAAGAAGGATTTTCAGTCAGGATTTAGAGTCCATCATAGGACAGAAACTGCACTGGTGAAAGTCACCAATGATCTTCTCCTAGTCTCAGACAAAGGACTCATCTCCATACTCGTCCTCTTAGATCTCAGTGCTGCTTTGGATGCCACTGATCACAGCATCTTACTACAGAGACTTGAACATGTTATTGGGGTTAAAGGAACAGCACTAAGCTGGTTCAGATCTTATTTATCAGAAGGATTCTAGTTTGTTCATGTTAATGATTCATATTTGACCAAATGTTACTAAACTCTCTTTACTAAACCTAAAGCTTCCTGTACTTCTCAGTATAGTTATGTTTTTTTTTTCTCTGCAGCTGGTCTGCAGTCAGTGGGAGGGTCTAGACCAGTAACGGATCCAGGTCAGACTTCAAGTGGTCAAACCAGGAACAGAGTCTGCTGTCTTGGTGGTATCTCTATCCCTCCGCTTTTTAAAGGTTCATTGCACTAAAATACTGTGACTTTACTCATTCAGCTTTGTTTCATTAATACTTGTATAAATGAACTGAATAAATAATTGTACTCAGGAGGTACAAATATGAAAAGATGTGTTTGTCTTTCAGCAAGTCGCAGTCAGCAGCTCCGTGTGAAGCTGGAGCCCAGAGGACTTCTCTATGTCAAACTGTCTTTACAGGAAAAATGGGACGCTCAGGTAAACAGTAATACTACTATTTCTACTACTACAAAGAAAACTGGTTGAAGCACCAAACAGTTTTTAGTCATGACTCTACAGATATGACACCATAGTGGAACTATAAAAGTAAATCAGATTTACCTTCACAGTGACCTTAATCTCTTCTCAGTGACAGTTACTGTTCACAGACTTGAGTCACATACCACTCGCATAAATTACTAAGACTATTATTATTGCTATGTACAAATACTACCATATGTTACTACTGCCATCACAGGGTGAGGTTATTTCTCTCTACAGCCCAGCAGTGATACTTCAGCCCCTGCTAATGTTTTTGGGGTTGAACTGCACCACCTGGTAGAGAAAGAAGGGTCTGCAGTTCCGGTCCCTCTGCTGATCCAGAAAACTGTGGCCGAGATAGAGCGACGAGGACTGAAGGTGTGTTGCTCTGCTTAGCTACCAGTTAATTTCTAAAGAGAAGGTGGAAGTTACAGTCAGAGTTTTCACATACAAACACTGAGTGGCCATTAAAGGAACTGGAGTTTAAGACCTTTTCAACACTCATTAACAGCAGGGGTGCAGGACTGCATTTCCATGCACCACTGCAGAGATTTCAGGAGCAATACCAGGGTTTGTCTGGTTGGTCACAGGGGTGTGGACTGAGTCTCCTGTCTAGATGAAGCTCATGGCTGCCAGGTGAGAAGAACTATGTGGAACTCTGTCTGTCTGCAGCAGGACAACAGAAGGAGAGTTAGCAGATAAGTGCAATATTAAGGGACTCGAACACATCATTACACTTCCAGTATTTATTTGAATTTCATAGTGTGGGGACAAACCCTGTGAGAAGCACTGTGTCTTTTTTAAGGGGGCCCTCGGTGTGTCCTGAGTCTTTTTTCTTGGTTTCCTCCATGCTGGATGTGATCAAGATCAAGAATCTTTATTGTCATATTTATTGTCAACAACACAGATGCCCTGTACAGGAAGGGCCAGAGCCGCCTCCACTTGTTGAGGAGACTGAGGTCCTTTGGTGTGCGCGGGGCACTCCTTTGGACATTTTATGAAACTGTGGTGTCATTTGCAGTTTTTTACGCTGTTGTAGGTTGGGCAGGTGGCAGCATGGACAGGGACAGGGACAGGGACAGGAAGAAACCTAACAAGCTGGTCTTGTCCTGGGCTGCCCCCTGGATTCCATCGAGGAGGTGGCGGACAGAAGGATGCTGATAAAACTAACATCCATCATGCACAACCCCTCCCATCCCTTGCACCACACAGTGCAGGCTCTGAACAGTTCTTTTAGCACAAGACTGTTACATCCCCAGTGTAAGAAGGAGCGTTACCGTAGGTCATTCCTCCCCACAGCCATCAGACTGTACAATATATCACTGCAGTGATAAGATAGGTGAAATTATGAGGGACTATGCAATAGTCAATTGAGGTGCAATACTCAAATCCTGGGGGTAAGATGCATTGTAAATATGCACATATGTAAAATCTTGTTCTTGATTTCTCTTGAATACTTTATATTGTCTTGTTTTAGGTATTTTTGAATAGTTTTTCAGAGATCCTCATGGCTGAAATACAGGTATTTCCCCCATTGCGGGATTAATTGTGGGAGTAATATTCTTTTTCTTGATTTCTTGATTTCTCTCGAATACTATATCTCGTCTTGTTCTTAGGTATTTTTGATTTGTTCTCAGGGATTAATTGTGGGAGGATCATTCTTGTTCGTGATTGTCTCTCAAATACTTTATTCTGTCTGGTATTAGGTACTTTGGAATTTGTTTCTCAAGATATGTTTTGTCTTCCTGGACCTCCTATAATCCACAACGACCTCCTTAGTCTTCTTGGTGTTCAGGACAAGATTGTTATCTGAACACCACCTTGTCAGGTGCTGGATCTCCTCTCTGTAGTGAGTCTCACTTGCAAAGCCTCTTACGGGAGGTATCAAAGATATGTCCAGGACAACTACAAGCGGCTCATGTTGTCTCTAGGGGTCATATTATACTTAAAAAAAAGGCCAACTACACTGAAAATCAGATGTGTTTATAGTCGTTTCCAAACAGTCACACTCAAAGGTAGAGGTAAAATTCAGTCAACAGAGAGAAGGGGGAGATGTCCTATGGTTTAAACAAATAACCTTGATTTTCAGACAGTCTCTCTTGGAAGACATTCACAGTGTTGTATACTGGCCCCTTAAAGCTGAGTCCAGACTTCCTGTCAGGGAAACTCATTCCAGCTGCTTTGATCCACCATCTTATTCTTTCAGTCACCGTAGAGACCAGGGCCACAACTGAGGACTGGAAGAGGGATCCACTGGTGAACCCAGAGCTTCAGGATCAGCTCTCTGTGAACCACACACTAAGACTATCCCATTGTAAATAACTAAACTGGAAGCTCACTGCACATTGTTCTTGACTGATTGAAACTAGTTAACACAGGGTGCAAATATGATGTTATTTTTGTTGAAGCTGACCAGTCAGGATGTTCTGCACCTCTGACTCATGACCTTATCTGTATCTACAGTACGTGTATGCACCTGTCTGTCTCTTTGTCTGCCTATGCCTGTCAGGTGGTGGGTCTGTACAGACTGTGTGGTTCTGCGGCAGTGAAGAAGGAGCTCAGGGACTGGTTTGAGAGGAACAGTTCAGCCGTCTGCCTCAGCGAGGACCTTTACCCCGACATCAATGTCATCACAGGCGAGTAACACCAGATGATCTGAATTTAAACGCTGTGGTTTGGTATGTTTGTAGTCTGAGTCATATTCAAGCCATTAAGGTCAGACATTACTTGAGAGACTCTGATATGATTGAATAATGTCTGATTTGTATTTCATCTTAATGGCTTAGGTCAGCCTGGTTGATTTGTGTGTCACCTAGATGACTTTATATTAATGATTGAGCTTCACCTTTATGAATCTTTTATTTGCACTGGACTTTAAGAACCTTGAACTGACCTTAAGGACTTGGCCTTGATCTTCTTTCTTTGAGGCTCAGATGGTATTCATAACACAGAAATTACCTTTGCGAGTGACTTGATGTAAACAGCTTGAACTTAGCATCAGTGATTCACCCTGGTGTTAACAACCTGGATACGGCTTTAAATTACTCAAATTTGAGGTTCATGACCTTGCATAATCATGATAACTTTGTAAAACGGGGTTTACAGAGAATAAGAACAAAAGTAACAGTGAGGACATATCACACAACAAAAGCAGCCTACAGGACAGGATAAATCAGAAACTGTGACTTAAAGGAAAATAAAAACACAACCTGGGGCCTGTCCTAATACCCACATTTGTGGTATTTGCAATAGTATTTCTGGTAGTAACCCTAGTGCCCGAGGGCCTGCTCAGACCTCAACACGTTGAGGTTTAATGGTTTATTAAGAAGGTTTAACTGTTTAATAATGACATCCTGCCACTCAAATACAAACACTGTGCATGGGACAATTGACAAGCTTGGTGGTTGTCCATCATCCCAGTTATCCTCCACTCTAAACTGACCCAGCTCATTATGCCTGCCCCCACCTGTCAGTGGATTACCAGCTTGACTGCACCTCAGGAGACCCCTCTGTTAAACTCCTGAAGTTCACAGATGACATAACAGTCATCAGTCTCATCTGACTGTGATGAGTTGGCCTATAGAATTACAGAACAGCTGGCCCTGTGGTTGCAACAACCTGGAGCTGAACATGCTCAAAACAGTGGAGATGACAGTGGACTTTAGGAGGAGCCCCCCCACTCCCCCACCCCATCACCATACTCAGCAGCACTGTATCAGCAGTAAAGTCCTTCAAGTTCCTGGGCTCCACTGTCTCCCAGAACCTGAGGTGGACATCCAACAGAAAAGAGAAAAGATCAGGTGTAGTCTGTCATGTGGGCAGCTGTTTTTACTTTTTATCAAGTGCCTGGGAGAGCACTGCTTCTGAGTAACTAAATAATACCAGTTAATTTGTATCATTTATAGTAGCAGAACACAAAATGCGATCAAGAAAAGAGCCGCCATTGTAGACCTAGTATGTGAGCCTGTCTGTCACCTTTGGCTGTTCCTGTTAGGGGTTGCCACAGCGACTCGTCACACTGAGGATTCACATCTTGAAATTTGGCACGTGTTTTACGCCGGGTGCCCTTCCTGACGCAGTCCTAAATTGAACCTGGGCCGCAGCAGCAAGAGCACTGAATCCTAGCCACTAGTCCATCAGGGATCCCCAGAGCTAGTATGTTAGCAATGTAGCTAAACCTATAGCACAATACTAATTGTGGAGCTATGACTTGTTTGCAGGAAAGAAAACAGATTTAATCCAAATTGCATTAAGTTTCTATTTGTGCAACTAAGCAAAAACAGGCAGTGTTCATTGCTGACATATTGTTTTTTGTTGCTGTGTCTGAGAGGAAGAATATACGCTAAAGGCTCAGTTAACTTTACTCCTGCCTGTGACTCTCCGTACTTGCATGTTCACTGTCTGTCTCAGTATGGACTGACACTCACCCTGAAGACAGAAGAATTACTGTTGGTCCTAATTCACTGTTAGTGAGTTTCAGACACAGGACACACTGAAGTGGACGTTCACGCAGTAGAGCCATGTATGAAGGGCAGGACGTCCTCACTGATCGAGCTCTGAACACTTCATGTGCTTGTGGTGTTGCTTGAATAGTCACAAATATTGCAGGTGTTTGAACAGACCCTTGGGCTTGGACCATTTCAACATGACCTCAGCAACTCGTAAATGATTTACATGTGTCAGGCTGCAGGGACATTTCTATGATCTCGATCATTCGGACACTGCTGAGACTCACACAGGACCAAGTAGTAGTATGAATGACCGTGATGACTTGAGCACTCATTCTCACCATGGGTATACTCAGTGCTGTGTTTTTTTTTTCAGGTATACTGAAGGACTACCTGCGAGAGCTGCCATCTCCACTCATCACAAGGACTCTGTACAATGTAGTCAGGGAGGCCATGGCCCTACGACCCCCACCTGCCCTATATGTGACCCCTGACCCCCAGTTGGCCCAGAGTACCGTGGAGCTACTGGCCTGTCTGCCGCCTCCAGAGAAAGTAACGCAGAGTAGTACTAATGCAGTACTATAGTACAGCATTCTCCTCTGTCCTTCTGTCACATGTGGCTAAATGTAGAATTGTCCTGTTGATGAAGCCACATTTCTACATCCTGCCATCAAAGTCTCAAACATTTTGAACATGTAAAATTTGAGGTTATGGGAGAGATGTGCATGTTTCTGTACAGCAATGCGATTAATCTAAAGTCTGGAACATGTTTTTCATTCTGTACACAAGTGTTTGGGGTGTGGATCTGGGGTGCAATGTCAGCATGTAAAGATAATATTTCCTTAGTGTAGTGAAGACCCTGGTGAACAGTCGGGAATGAACCAATCAGACGTCTCCTCTGCTGATTCCAGTTCAGATATGCATACACATGTGATAGCAGATGTCTGTTTTTGCCAGATTTCAACACCGTAAACCTTTGCCAACAGTGAAGAAAGATAGGAACCATGGGGAGAGGAGTGTATGAAATGCAACCACAGTGTGATGCTTTCACAGCACCTCAGTTAGGATCATTTTGGCAGTATGTAAGCTAATAGGACTTCAGGCATGCTGTGAAACCAGACAGCACAGACATGACAGGATTATGCTGAGTACATGACCGGGTACATTAGTGCCTGTATCGACAACATTGTGCTCACCATACAAGTCAGGAGGTTCCCCAACCAGAAGCCCTGGATAAACAGTCAGGTACGCCATATGCTGCATGCTCGCTCTCATGCATTCAGATCAGGCGATGAGACGGAGTACAAAGCTGTGAAGTACAGACTGAGGAAAGCCATCACAGCGGCCAAGAAGCAGTACAGGGAGAAGCTGAATGGCTTCTATTCTACTGCTGACTCCGGACGGATGTGGCAAGGCCTGCAGCACATCATAGACTACAGGACCACCACCAGCATCATCAGCTCCACAAACAGCCTGCCGGATGACCTCAACACCTTCTACACCCACTTTGAGACCTCCAGCCACAGCACAGAGAGGAGGCATACACACACCGAGATCACCCAATCCCCCACTTCCCCTCCACTAACTGTCTCACCAGGACAGGTACGCACAGTCCTGAGGAAGATCAACCCCCGCAAAGCAGCAGGACCGGACAACATCCCTGGGAGGGCTCTCAGGGCTGATGTTCTCGCCACCAACTTCAATCTCTCCCTCATCCAGAGCATCGTTCCCACCTGTTTTAAGACCACAACCATCGTCCCCCTTCCCAAGAAGAGCCCAGTCACCTGCCTGAACGACTACAGGCCAGTGGCACTCACCCCAATCATTATTAAGTGTTTTGAGAGAGTGATGCTGGCCCACATTCAGAGCAGTATACCGGGCACCCTGGACCCCCTGCAGTATGCCTACCAGCCCAGCATGG